AAAAAAAAAAAGAAAAGTACTTCCCTTACCATTTTCACATATCTGACACTACAAAAAGTTACTTGGGGTGTTTTGTCAGTAAAAAGTAAGAATGCAAATGTAGCTAGAGCAAAATGCTTACTCAGTTGGATAAAGCTGAAACGTATAAACAGCATATGCAGTCATCAGCCATAAGAAGAATGTGTTGCAATAATTACTTAAGTTCATATTTATATAAGTCTGTAATTTCCTGGGTATCTGAAGTGGAAAACACAACATCCTGGACACTGTGTTATCTAGATATCCGAGTAACTCAGGCCATTTGCCACATCAATGACTAAACAGGTCATCTCACAGTAGATCAGCTGATCAAATTTGTATACAAGGGAATTCATAAGTATTATGTTTTCAAGTCTACTCCACAAAATAGAAGTCCTGGCAACTGAATGGAAGGCATGGGTGCAGAAAAAGCCACAAATCCCTAAGAAACTTGAAATTATCCAGTTGAGATTTTGGAAACTGCCTGGTGACACTGAAGTACCATTACATACTATAGGGACAAGACTTCCCTAAATATGCAAAAGTGGCTTATAACACCAATACAACACTTCTCTTAAATGCCTACAAAAGAAGAAAAATATGGCAAGTGAAATGCAAATCTCAGTTATTTAAAAAAATAACATCCTGTGCCCCCCTCACCTTTGTATATAAAGGAATATATACAGATTCTATATAAAAGGCAGATTACCTCTGATCCTAGTAATATTTAGTTTTTCTTATTCAAGATTAACAAGATGTTTTGCAATCCAATGACATGATCATGGTAGGAGCCTCAAAAAAACCTGAATTATGGATTCTGTTTTATATTCCTTTTCTGGTAAAAATATACTATGTAAGCACCAGCCCATGACTGAAGGGGGAGGGGGGGACCAAACATAAATTTATACTGAAATATTGCCAAAAAATACCTTAACTAGCATGATTATACTAGTGAAGACCCAATATCTCTGAATTTATCCTTCTAGAAAGCATTAGAAGCAAGCTTTTTGTGCCTTAGTAACGTCATTCAACATTCATTTTTAGCCTTTATCAATGGTTAAGAATTTGATTCATCATCTGAATCACAATCCCGAAAAATTCTGTGAAAAAAACTCTCTCTGTACCAAGGGACTAGTGATACTTTAATAGGATGATTTTAAAACATTGGCTTTTTGTAACAGTTGAAAATCTAGCCAAAGTCACAGTGTGGCCGAGCAGGTGGAAGAGACTCAGCCACCTCTGATTAAATGAATGATAAATGCTACGAAGTGTGATAATTAGACATGCTTATTTTTTTTCCTCTGTCTTTGATCACACATTTCTAATTCTGCATTTTTTCCCAAAGGAAGGTAAGAGTCCATTTTCCTCTATTCCATGAAATAAATAGTCATGAAGACCCTGAGGACACAAAGCTAAGGAAAAGAGATGACCCGCTACTACTACAATGACAGCTAATGGTATTAATTTAAAGCTGCATGCTGAATTATTTTCTCCAAATAACCTTCCCAGCAGGTATATAGCTTCACCAATTTCTGTATTTTAATATTGGGAAGTGAGATATCTTTTATTACTACTGGTATTTACAGCACAGAAGTCAATACATAAATTTGACAGCACACTAGTATTTCTATTTCAGGATTTTTTTTTTAAAGCCTTTGCATTTAATGAAAAACTTTTGCTTTCATATTTATACCTTTTAAGAAAATTGGCCTCATAGGTGAAAATTTGTCAAACCTTCTACCTCTCAAGCCTTTTAGTTCTTGTTGACTTCTATTAAAAGTACAGAAGGCAACCAAAAAGCAGCGATTTTTTTCTTTCAAACAGATTGTTCTGACAATCACAGTAGCAGTTTCTGTGTGTTCTAGCATCTGCTGAGACACAAAAACAATTAGGGTGAAATCACAGCTCTAATTAAGGTAGGGTGCTTGACTTCAACAGGGATTGTGATTTCACTTCCGGAATTCTAATTTGAGAACTGTTTGCGCAGTTAAGCATGTGGCACAGAAAGACCTGCGTGATCTACATAGTGCATATGCCATCTGTATGCTTAAATGGGAACAGTATCTCTCAAGGAGCCATTTTCTAGAATTTAATTCCCTTCAGTTGCAATCTGGAACATAACTTCGTGAGCAGAAGAGAATTAAACGTTACTGTGCAAAAACCATAATACCAAGTTTCTAGTTCAACAAGAACTAACTCCAAATCTGTTTTTCTTCTGTAACGACAAACACCATTTTCCCATGGAAACATAATATTAAGCCACATGTAACTGTTACAGACAATCATCACAAATTTACCTCAACGGGGTTATACAGAAACAGATTCTTCAATTAACCCTTAACAGCCCAACACAGTAAAATAATGTTTAATGCCTAAAAAAAAAGGAGGATTTTTCCTCAGCGTAGGAATTTTAATAGACTTCCTGGAGAATGAGTTTAAATGGTAATTTTTTTAAAGGGGCTTCCTAAAGGCATGAGTTGAGGATCCCCTTTCCTTTTTTTTTTTTTTTTTTTTAAATAGGCTGTAAAGAGTTACTTAAGGTGCTGATGAGATGAATATGAAGGCAGGGCTGAGTAGGTAGGTGGGACCTACTCGTGTTCCGTTATCTTTGTTGTAAAATTGGTGTGCGTGATCTAACAGGACAGGCAGAAACAATTTCCCAGAAAGCAGTAACATTCAGCCATCAGCAGGCAGTTAGTTACAGGACTGAGGAAGAAATGGGATGGTTCATTAAATTCATTACCTCACAGGATGAAGATTGCGTGCGATAACTTGGCACAATCTTAAAGGTGATACTTCCACGCATTTCCCTCTGCAAAAAGAAAAGCACTTCTTTAAAGACTAAGACACTGAAGATAAAATCGCCAAATCAGTAATGCTTTAAAGGAAAGCACCATAGTTTGAGAGCAGCAGTACGTTTTCATAAAGTAAATGTTCAGAAAAGCTAAAATGCTATGGCTCATTTGTCATTTCACTTAGAAACAAACATTTAGGTTGTCTCTCATTAATCTAAAAGATAAACATACGTTATTAGTTCGTTCACCTGACCAGCTTTTGAATGCCTAGAACCTACAGCTGTATTTTAAGGTGAGGAATTCACAGATGTGTGTGTTTCTTCCATGTCAATCTTTTCTTTGTAGCTATATTCTTGTGATCCACACAGTCTTTGCTACTAAAGTGATATTTTCTTCCCTTTCATCATACATATTAAATAGCAAAAACATATTCACAGTTTCTGGAAAGCTGCATGTTGCTCTACTAAAGGTAGAAACGTAAAAAATAGTCTTTCATCAGAACAGAACACGGGGTCTGCTAGTTTGCATTTACTGTAGTGTAAGAATATTCATAACAAAGAGTAACTGCAGAATAGCAGCAGATTGTGGCAACATATTTGCTCAGCCGTATTTTCTTAAATAACAGTTTGAATATAAGTGCCACCACAAGGCTGACAACTGCAGGACTCGATCTGGGCAGAAAGGTAAGTAGATAATCTCAAGTGATCTTGGAGTTTTTCTCCTTTCTCTCTTTGGCTGGCTTACTATGAGCCAAAAAATGCTATTTGCCTGGACTCATTTAAGGTTGTTTATATAGTTCTGGACACAACAGAAGAATTAGTGGTACCATCCAAGATCCCAAGATTAGGCTTGCATGCAGAAAAATTTGCAAGTGTTATGGAACATCAAACTGACTCTACTAGCAAGGCCCAAAATTGACTTCTCCTGCAAAAAGCCAGACTCTGAGCTCAAAATATTTTTTTTCCCCTTTGTAACATCAATAAGCATGAGCCACAATAGTTATAAATTGAAAGAAGGGATGTTCCAGCTACATATAAGGAACACATTTTTCCCTATGATGATAATTAAGTGTTGGAACAGGTTGCCCAAAGAGGCACCTGTCCTGTCAAATCTCTGTCCTTGGATATTTTCAAGGCTTAACCAGACAAAGACCTGAGCAACCTGGGCTGAATTCAATGTTGACCCTGCTTTGTGCAGGAGATTGGACTGGAGACCTCCTGAGGTTACTTCCAATCTGAATGGTTCTATGATTTATTGGCTTTGTATTTGTGCAGCAATTATACCAATAAGCAAGAAAAGTTTCTTTTCTCTCGTAGTATATTCAGTGGCTACACTTAGTGTAGGCTGAAGATTTAAAATAAGGGCATGATCTTTATAGACTAACTTGGGATGAGTAATAGGAGGAAAGCAGTATTTCTTCTGATATATCTACTAGAGACAAGAGAAGAAACTCCTGCATTTCAACAAAGGAAACTCAGACATTCGAAAAAACTTTCTAAAACATAGAAGAGTTATACACTAAAGTCAACTGCCCAGAGAGTTTGGGGAACTTCCATTACTCAAGGTTTTTTTAAGAGCTGGTCAGACATACATCTGTCAGGATTGGTTGAGTGTCAATGATCTTTTCCGTGGGACTAAATGGAATAAATAAAATGACAGCTGGAGGTGCCTTCTACCATTCCTGCGTATAATGTGCAAAAAAGCCACTACTAAAAAACAGGGGAGAGCCTGTAGAAGGCTTAAACAGCTGAACACAGGAAGACTTTGTGTTACATGCACATGTAGGCTATCAAGAATAGAAGAAAGAGGGGAAGTCACAATGCAATTGCATAAAAGTTTTGTCAAAATAAGGCAGGCACTTATATAAAAAACATGAGAAAGATTTCAGGCACTTACAAGCATTTTTTGTAGTTGTTCTACAGTTTGATTTGCCACACTGATCCCGTTTATTTCTCGGATTTCATCCCCTACGTGTAGTGTACCTGTGGAGTTAAGAAAACATACAATCACCTCAAACATGTTTTTACAAATTGAGATAACTGTAAGACAGTACTAATATTCATATGAAGGCATAAATGTGAAACAATGTTAAAATAAGTTTTTTGGCTAGATTCAGAAAAGGACTTTGGTAGCTATGTATTAGCTACCAAAGATTATGAATCTGTCTTTCAGAGTGCAGTTAATACATCAGCATGAGAGGCCCAAGCACCCTACAAAGTACATGCGGAAAACATCAGTCCCTTACGAAGACACTGCAAAAACCCACACATTGATAAGAAAGTCACCTGCAACTAGTCAGCTAAAAACATTAAAAGAGATATTCAAGCAGTATTTTATCAGATGAGTACTTAATGCAGTTTGGCTTCTGGACATAGTCTTAATTTTATCTGTCAGACTGCTGTATTTTTTAATTTCTCTGATTTTGATTTGCCATATTTACAGTATGCATTTTCTGTATGTACCCTTGACTTCAGCTTGAATGTAAATGACTGGTGTGACTACCTACAATGTCAGATGATGAAACAAATATCTACTTAGCTTAGGCAAGTCATAAACTGACCTGCTGAAACCGGGATGGGAATGGCATGCTACAACATGGCTCTAAGACACTACAAAAGCTCAACAGGGAGGAGGCAGTGAATGAATGAATGATCTTCAGGATTAGAAGCAACCTAGGAGGCTCTTTTTGGATGATAATTTCTGACTTGAGTAGCTCAAGCCCACCTAGTTTTCTAGCAGTTCTCAAAAAAAAAACTTCCATGGTTTATTATTAGCCAGAAGATGTTTTTCATATATAATGAAACATGACAAGACCATTTACTTCACATATATATCTTTCTGCTGTATGATTTAAATAATTTGTGCAAGTATTCTTTTCTAAATATTGTACCTAATACAATTACTGTACCTAATATAATTAATCTTACTTGGAAAGCTAGCAACTGGCAAACATTTCCTAAACTAAAATATATCTATGGAAAATTACCTGAAAAAAGTCAATCAACTAGAATCCTGAAAAACCCTTAAAATTCTTTTCCTGAACCAAAATAGTCAGTTTTTCCAAAGAATACCATGCAAGCAAAACTTTCAGCTGGACAAACGTATGAAAATCAAACTGTGTGCCTGCTAAACACAAGCACAGCCTGAACCAAGGAGAAAAATCCTGAAAAGCTCTGTTGCTATGATTCCCTTTGGGCTCTGTTCTGCGAAACAGAGGCTCTGTGGCAGGGCTACAGGAGAGAGCCCAAAGTTTACAAAAACTTTCAGTACTCTCAAGAGTAAGTCCTTCAGCCACATTAAATGCTTCAAACAATTCTACAGGAGCTGATCTGCCAATAGTGAAATTTTAAAAAAGGAGTCATCACAATTCTTCCACTCTTCAGTGGGAAAATTGTCACAATTAATAGTTTACTGAATGTGAATGCAACAGCCCTGCATCTGAATTTCAAATTAATCTAGCTCACATCTAGAATATTAATGACCAAATCTCTAGTGAAACACTTTGAAAGTTCAGTTTTGGCAGACTTTCTCAGGAAGGCATTCAATACCCAATTCTTAAAAAAATATTCTAATAAAAATGAGGCTCTATGTTGACTGTATCATGCCAAAATTAAATTGAGTTTGAAGTGAGTGTAATTGTTATTAAACAATAATACTGAATCAGAAAAAGCATATGCCCTGGAATAGTATAAAGATTCTTTGGCATTATTCAAAGTATACATCTGATGGAATTAAATATTAGAATGAGAATCAGACTCAGCCATATCCCTGTATCAAGTAATTTCAATAGTGCACTTAAATAAAATCCCCTCTTCCGGAGCATTTCCCATTTCCGTTACTCTGACAGAAGTGAATAGTGTTCTTGTACATGCCTGAAATGGAGCAGTATACACAAAAGTTGGGAATAAAGCATGGACATTTAGCGGTAGATGGTCATTCTGTTTTGGGGGGTTTGATGCATTGATGCATTGATAAACCATAGGAAGATATTTTCAATCTGAGGGAAAAAGCTTTTATTATTTGCAGAAACTTCTTACTCTTTATAAATATTCTTGTTGGAAAAGAGTATTCTTGACATCTTTGAATAATGAGTCTTCAGTACCATTTGTAGCTCCCATGATACCTATGCTTAATCATCTAATTTTGGTTCCTTTTCTATTGGCAGTCCAGTGTTTATTTAGAACTTAAGCTATTCATTACTTATTGATGTATAACACATCTGTAATAACAAAGAATGGATGTATTTCTGGAGTAAATGATTTCCTTCTTTGTCTTTGCAAGTCAGAGTGAAGACAGTTTTAGGAAGTGTGTGCTCTTGCTCTGCACAGAAGTATGAGAAATCCTACCCTATTAGGAAGAAGACAGAACAAATTCTTGGAGTCCCTATTTGGAAACATGTTTTGTAGCCAAAAGAAAATTCTGTAGCTTGGAAAGTGAAAGGCTGTGAATGTATAATCATATTTTCACATACATTTTGTTAGCATTGAATAAATGTTATCAGGGGTATCAGTGTTCTAAAAATCAGTGTGAATTTTACATTAAGTCACTTTGAGAATGTAGCATAGACAGTGTACAACTACTGTTTTTCTGGTGAGGTTAAATGGGCAGCCAATAAGTCCTTTCTCTTCTTTGGAAATCTTTTAAAATGTCATATTAGGACATCTTCTTAAATGCATTTTAAGAATGAATTCACATTTAAGCACGAATGCCCCAAAACCAGTCAGCAGCAAAAACCCTATGGGTTAAGATACTGAGAGCTGCTGAGAAATCAGGCTATAAGCAGATCCCCTGAAAATAATATTTACAATATGAGTAGTCTAAACAGAATCCACAGGTAAAAAATGAATGGACAACTGAGCTAAGTTAAGGCACAGACACAAAGGTGAAAGGCAAGACATAACTAAAATCCTGAGATCTAAGATACAATTCATTTACTTATCCTAAAAAAGCAGACAAGTCAACAAAAAGACAATTTTTAATGACGGAAACTGGTATTTCATTTTCATTGAGCTCAATCCTCTGGAAGGTGCAAGTAGATAGCATCTTTACAAGCCTATCTCCCTACTTCAACTTCCCCACCTTTTGAATAAGGACAACTATAATCAGCAGGACTAGATACAGCTGGCATAGAGATAGGAGGCAGACTTCACAGCAGCTACTATTTTGTGATTGGGAATTGCACACTTAATACTGCTAGAAATTATATAGTTCCTGTAAAACCCTCCCAGTAGATCTATTATCTAGCCATTGCTGTTATTGCCTGGCAGTTTTCCATATAGCAAGAGGAGACAGCAGAAACAACATAAAAAAAACTCCAAAACAAATAAAAGCCACAGACCCTGTCAATAGGATTCAAAGACACATTGTGCTCGAGATCACCATCAACTTACATTTGTGTTGTTCTATCCAGTAAAAATATTCTAAATATAGGTACTTTGAATGCAGCAGTGAAGCTAAGAAGCATCTAGAGCACTAACAAAATTAGAAACATTTAAAAAAAAAAAAAGATGACACTACAGAAACACTGAAGTATATTTCATTTTCAAACTAAACCTATGTGCAGAAGAGCTACCTTAGTTAGATGAAGCACATATAGAATGGGTTAAATTTCCCAAGTTTTTAGAAATAAAAGACATTGTACAATTAAAAACAAAAGAACAGAGTTCTAATGGGCACAGTTGGATTTTTTAACCCAGTTTTAAGAGGTTTTAAAAGTTTTATTACCCCCATTATGGAACACAGTCATGTGAAACAGTGCTCTGCAGAGGATCACCGCTACTTAAGTATATTTGGATGAAAACCTTCCTTCTGTGAATCTTAGAGCAATCTCCTTTTAAAACTCCCTTTTACAAGCCAAATAAATTTCCATTCAGAGGGCCCTCTAAAGAAAAATAGAAGTCTATATGAATCGCATCTTTACTTGTATGAAAAGTTTTTATCTTTCCTGCTTCTTGACAGGTTTGATCATGTCAAGGAGACGAACTGAATATATCAGGGAAAGGATCGCTGTACCCTTTCCCTGCTTCATGTTTTGTCTTCCTAATTACCTGTTCCTAGCTTCTTTTGAAATAGAACAATAGGCGAGAAGGAACAAATGATGAAAATTTTTGTGTTCATCAAAAGAAAAAGATGGCAAACTGGAAAAACTAAAGTAACCCTTTTAAGGGTGCAATCCAAACTTGCAGCTAACAACCTAGCAGGGAAGTTTATCTGTTTAAAGTAGGACAAAGCCCAGCTATTTTTTGACATCTGATCTGGACACACAAAATGGAAAAAAGGAGTAGACTGGAGATGAGAAAAGATGCCTGTCTGCAGGGTTTGCTATAGTAGTGAAAACTGAAAATAAAGATTCAAGTTCTGGGCACAAGAAATATTTTTATTTCACAAATCGTTTTTATGAGCCTCAACATCAAAAGTACAAAGATCCTCAAGAATTGTGTGAAAACATATGGAGAAATTTAAATTTTTTGTTGAACAAAGTTCTTCCGTTTTTGCAAGGAAAAGTACTGTAACTAGTCTAAGGATTTTTTTTTTTTTAAAAAAAACAGAGGATTAAATAAGTACAGCTCCAGAAGTTATTGACATTTCAATCTCTCACTGAGCTATACTCCCGTTATCCTAATTAAGGCCTAAATGAAACATAGCGGGCCCTCATCTCACAACGCTCGAAGACATCTGCAACTGGAAGGTAACAAAGGCAGTTAACAGGACTCCATCCAGATACAGAGGTACACTACTATGGAATAGTAGCAATCAAAATGAGGAGCATGTACTGTTATATGGTTTGTACAAAATGATCTAAATAATTGTGTTTGAAGACAAAACTATTTATGACACGATTACCTTGCCGGTGAATCATTCCTCCGTGCATAATTCTTGCCACAATGCAATGGTTCAGCTCATTCATTTTTAAAGTGATTCCCTAGAAAAAGAAATGTTTATACTCTTAAAATAAAACATTAAGCAGTGTGATTGTTGAGTGGTTAAGAACAGTCACTTTTCCTAAAAGCTTGAAGGCAGGGTATCTATTTTAAGGTTAAAATAAAAGCTTTGTCGCTCACTTAAATATGAGCAATGAAAACAGATGTTATTTATAGGTGAAGATGCAATAATTTAATATATGCGCATATAAGATGCTGGTTTGTTAAAAATGTAATTTTGTATTGAAGTGCGAAGTGTCCAGTTTGGTTTAAAGCCTAATTTGCTATAACTACTACAAGGTTGTTTTTAGACAAAAACCGCTCTAGTGGTACAGCAGTAGTATGAATGCATACATAACATTTTAAGTTAAGGATATACACAGGAATGTAAGTATCTACAATGGCTGCTGAACTATTCCAATTACATTGGCAACCCTACTTCAAAGTGCAGAAACTGTCATTAAAATCATTATAATACTGGTCTTTACCAGTACAGAGTCAAGAAAAATACTGAGGTACCCTCCATACCATCGGTTCATCTGTGTTCTTCTGGAACTGCACCAGTCGAACTCGTGTTACATTCTCCATATCCATGTCGCCGTTGGCGCTTTCTGGAGAATCTCCGTTTAAGTACGGAGAGGTGGGAGGAGGTGTAACTCTCAGCGCTTCATCACTGTAAACTTCATGTGCCACTACATCATGAGTTTGAAGTAAGGCCTAGAGGAGATTACAGCAACAAAATATCAGACTTCCATCATCTCTGATTGGATGTCTTGTAAGTATTATAAGGAGTCCCACTCATTCCCTGTAAGTATTTTTGAAGCTTTTCAGAAATTAAAGGAAATTCAAGATATTTGTGCCTCACTTTCTATACAGGAACTTTCCCCTTAAAGGAGTCTAAGATAAACTTCAGCAGACTGCAAATGCATACCTAGCCTTTAAAATCTGCATGAGTAAACCTGATTTTCTACTGCAGATACCTCAATGAGAATGATGCTGCTTTCCTCTCCCCCATCTTCTCGGCACCTGCAAGGTGCCAGAATTAATCCATCTTTATTTATGTGCGCAGACACAGAATTAGGAAGCTACCTTTCTGAGCAAACTATTCTATAATAATTACCCTAGTAAAATAAAAGGTATGCAGATCCCGTGGTATTTCATTCTAATAAAGACAGACTGGATTGGTACTGACTGAAAAATGAAATACTGTTTTTTGTTGTTTACTAGCATAATCAGTTCCATATTCTCCCCTTCCCCTCGAGCACGGTCCCAGCACAACCACACTGAGTTCCAAATACCTGACAAAAATTACAATCTAAACCAACAAACTGCCCAAATACTACTTCATTCGTTTTACTCTTTCTTGATGCAAAGAATGATACAACACGTAATTGATTAAATGTATTTAAATATCTTTGATAAGCAGAACAACTGACTGTGTAAGAAACCTAAGCCTGTATAACTGTAAAAAGTGTAACATAGTATTACAAGATAAAAGTTGGACAAAGTGTAAACATTTGTAAAGCAGTATTCAGTAGTACCAGGCTTTTTAATGGTATGACATTCCACTGTTCTCCAGGATATCTTTAAGAGCCCCGTATCACATTCATTTCACATTTGCATTCAACTCTTAATAACGAGGATATTATAGCTAGCTTGCTTCTGTCCAAAAACTAAATACGACTTGTATGTGAACATGCTAGTTCTACTCCTGTACTAACTTATCAAGGACCGGAGATAGATCCTGCCTCTATACCCAAACGGACAGGTTTCTCAGATAAGAATTGATAAATCAAGCCTAGTTCTTACAATATCTCTACAATAGAAGAGATATCAGCCACCACTGCAGTTAGGTCAATCTACATTATAATTCACATCTTGTTAATTTTCATTTCAATGCTCATAGCTCTTAACTTGCAGAACCCATCAATCTTGCAAGGCTTGAGATTGACCATCCAGAATTTGTTTTGGCAGAGAAATCTGACTCTGAAATGTCTTAAATCTTCAATTAAAATGTTTAAGCAGAACTTAAACTGAAAAAAAGTGATAGAACAACATCCCTACAAGATGTATTTCTGAAGTGGAATCCAAAGGAGAAATGGGATTTTCATGGCCTCTACAAAATCCTAAATTTGTTTCCAAGCTAGCACTTCTAAAGCGCATCACGTTATAAAAGATAACTTCATAAACAGTTTAAGTTCCCTTTTCTCAAATCAGTTTCCAACTATAGTTGGGAATTCAACATTATAACAATGGAACGAAATTCCCTAAACTAGCAATGCTCTGCCCACATTCCCTCCTGTTTTCCCAGTGTTTCAAGCCCACCTACACAAATACTATTTTTAGTTAAATACTAAACTGCATCTGCATTTTCTGGTTTTCATCTTATTTTGTCTACCACTAAGCTCAAACTCGCAACAATTCCTCTGCATTAGTCTGCACTACTGAAGCAACATTTTATATTTAGGGATCTGGACCATATATGTAAGTTAAACCACTTTAATTAAATCAATTCTTAATAATTTGATTTATTTAATTGGGTGTAAACTTACGTGTGAATCCTCCTATATATACATTTAGGGATTTAGCTTAACTCTCATTCTAGTATCTGAAAACTGTTTGCAGTTGTCCCAAATAAAACAAGAGCATCCACGTGCAATCATGCCTCAGCTCTGGCTGTTACAAAAACCATCTCTTCTAGGAGAGTGTGTGGTCTCGGCTTTGTGTGCAAGCACTCTTTGACAGAGTAGGATGATCTTCTGTGCTTCCTTCAGCTCAATCTACTCAAAGCTACTTACTCAACTTCATGCACCTGCCTGTATCTGTTATACTCTCCACGCTTTAGTATTACATTTCTTATGTAATTCAGGGCCTTACATTTGTTTCATGTCAAATACTTGCCTTGCTTTATACTGTATTTTTAGCAATAATACACACTTTGTAGGAGATTAAAATATGGTAATTTGAACATTTTTAAAGGTTCATAATTATACTAGATGACTTCTGAATATGTTAACAAAAATTAACACAAATTCAGAAACATCAGCTATTAAAGTACAGCAAGCTCAATTTAAATATTGAAAACATTTAATATAAAGACTGCTATTACTTAAAGATACTTGTTTTCATGCATTTCTGTTAATTTTGATAATTTAGATTTTTTTTTCCCTGTCTCTCTTTCATTTGCAGAACATGATAATCCTGCTGAAACAACTGCTTTCTACTATATCGCAGGATCATTGTCTGCAATGAACAGTGTAGGAAGGCACATGATGATGGATAAAACTTCAGTATGTAATTAAGTAAAAGTCTCCTAGTACAGCAAACATTTCAATTGCTGCCACATACTAAACATATATAATAGAACCTTTTACAGATAAAATTGGCACATTTGAAAAACTACTCGAAGTTGTGTAATGGAATAAAAGCTCCTTGAAATTTGTACACAACAAATGAGGTACTTGATAATCTTTTAAAGAATTCTTAAATTAGTTATCTACTGAAAGACCTTTATCCAAAAGTTACATACATTTCTTTAAATTAAAGTGTTAAGCATGTACAGACTAAATTTACAATTTATTCCTGTACCCATAAGGGATACAAGGGTAAAACAAAACTAAAACAGCAAAAAACTTTGAACTCGAAGATCTCAGTCCCAGTAAGAGTACTTACAAACCCATACTTTATTGGCTTTGGTTCTGTAAAGGTCTATACATAGTCTAAACCACTAACACTGTGTTTAAGTAAACGAGACAGACTATACTCCATTGTCTTCTGATTAGATAATAATATAAATAATAGTAAAATACTCTGTTATCATACAGGTGTTAATGCACACGATCCTACTTATTACACCTTATTGCTTCAGTCTCTGTGCATCACAGCTCAGGAACTTACTAAGCAGACTATTGCTCTGTACAATGCTTGGTAAAAACATTGAGTGTAGGCTGACAATATTGTTTTATACAATTATTTCCTTTCCTAAGAGTATCTATTTTAAAGGCTTTGGCTCTGAAAGAAAGTTTGGCAGAATGCCACATACATAAGAATAATTTTGTAAGATCTGCTATCTTATAAAAGGTGTGTCTGGGAGCAGAAGTGGGAATGACGGGAGAGGATGGGATTGGTTCTTTGACATCTGGAGACTCTTTGGTATCTGCACCCTAAAGGTATGGTTCCACTGCAACATATGCTGATTTAACTGATGCTTTACATGTTTGTGCCATTCCTCCCTAACCCAGACTGCGTGTTTCTGTCCCCTTGCTCATTCTGGCTCTGGCAGTATTCCAGCTGTCCCTAATTCTTTTTGCTAACTGATCATTGTTTTGTTGGAGCAATTTTCTACTAGTTTAGCACAGTGCAATACTGAAGTGCAGTGTCAGACGAATATCAGAACAACTGCAAGGGAGAGGATGAAACATGGGGAGAAGGATAGGACTCCATCAACTAGCAATTTACCTTGGGATGCCATAGACTAACTTACTGAAATTACTCCTCATCCAAAATACCTGTTACGGAATTGCAGCTTATTCCTTATAAAAAAATACCTTTTATAGAATTGCAGCAAAAGAATTCTGACCGATGGTTTTAAATTTATGAGGATATCAGGTGGAAATACAGATACCTATAAAAGATGATTTCCAACTCACTTTTCCTGTTGCTTGATTTGATACATTAAATTTTTATATGCCACAACCATTTTTATTGATGCCTACTCTGAAAAGAATTTATACTTTAAAAAATGCTCTTTCTCCACTGTGCCTAATGTTTTTGCAATACTGTGTGGTAATTACACAAAAAAAGGTAAATCAAATGAACCTGTCAGATTCCAAATAAAGAAATTGAGTACCAGAGAATACTGTTCTTGTTCTTTATGTTTTTTTTTTTTTTTTTTTTTTTAAAAAATCGTTCTTACAATACGGCTGAGTACCATTCTACCTTGTTTTATGTTCTATTTCAAGCAAGTATTCCTGTTAAATGGTGAACCAAATTTGTTACAGACTTCAGGATAGGTATCATCTCCAGGCAATGACATATCAGTGTGTTGCTGAGTACAACATAAAAAGCCAATGTCTGCATTAGCAATTAGTGCAGTGAAATAGGAATGGATCGATAAGTAAAACAATTGGGTTAGTGAGGACCCGATGTACAGACTGAATGCATTGCAGTTTTTACTTCTGACCAGCTTCCATCTTGCCCTGTGGACGGAATGCTCATCAGCTGCTGGATTACACTGGCTGAGCTTCTGATGTACATCTTCGAGTTTAATTTTATCTGAAAAGAGTCTAGTTTGCATGCTTTGAGACTCTTACATGATACAAGCCAAAGCATTGTAAGAGACCAATCAGGAGATTCACTTCAAAAACACACTCCTGATCTGATTTAAAGTACTAAAATAAATGCATCCGAAGCTACAGTGGCCATCAAAAGAACACATCGGCACATGCAGCTATCCAGATTTCATCTTATACCTGACTATGAGGTTGGTTTCAGCTCATTCTTTCCTGGCAATTAGGTTTATCCTTCAGACTTACAGTAATTCAGCTTTCAGGTGAGCAAATTCCACAAAGCCCCCTGCATATAATCTTTGTGTTAGGGAAAGTCAAATTCTTTATTTTAAACTGACAATAGTGTATAGCAGATTTAAGCAAACACTTTTATTTCTGAACTTATGAACTTCACCCACAGCATAAACAAAAGAAATCCTTTAAGTAGTTTCAAAAGACTAGACTTCAGTAACTGGAACCAAGTTATTAAGCAGTCACATCCCTGAACAATTACTGCCCACAAATCAGGTTTGTGAAACAGACACGGTAGGAGTTGATATGTAACACAAAGGCACTAGACTGTAAAAGCTATTGATTTATTGTAAAATAATGTTAAATAAACACTTATTTTGCAACGACTTCACACATCTTTATCCTAAGACGACCTTAGGAAAAAGAAAAAGGAGGACCCCAGCTCTACCTATGAACATCCAAAAGCATTTATTCTTCTTTCTATGTGCAACACAGCTCCCCGCAAAAAGACAGTGAAATTGCTCCATAATTAGATTACTCCAAACTGCTGACAGTTTTCAGCACAGTAGTGGGGACCAATAGTAGTAGTAATAGAAACTATTTTGCGGTATTGTATGCAGTTACATTACCTGCAGATTTTAGGGAGAACTTACTGAACTTAAGTTTTCTAATATAAAGAAAATATAAACCCCCCCCCCCCCCCGAAAGAGTAGCAGTTGCTTACCATGAAATGAGGTTGTGTTAAAATACGCTTTAGCTCCTTTGCATCATTGTTCTCTGGATAACATGAAATTTCTTCCAACACCTGAAAAACAAGCAGGAGAAATGCCCATAGTAACTTTCTGTTAAATAAAGCTATTAATCAAACAAATGAAAACCCTCACTGGTCAGTCAGAGTATCTCCAAATGATTATACAAAAGAATGTTTTTGACAGGAAGGGGCTTAGGAAAATGTGTGTCCCCCCCCCCCAACTCCAAGAGAATAAAATACCTCATTTCAATTTTCTTTCTCAGAGAGATTAAAGCAGAAATTTGAAGGAAACAGTTGCTCTTTTTTTCAACTGACAGTATTCCTCCAACAGCTAAATATATGGAGACAGAAATGAAGCGCTAACTTACAGGTGACACACATCACCACCACCAACTGCTACTTTCACACATGGTCTCAATTTATTAAGACAATCAAGTTTAAAAGCAGAATTAAAAATACTCATAAAACCTCCTCTTCACAAATTAAATTGTTAAAGACATCAAGTGTAGGTGGTCCACCTGCTACCCCACCTCCAAGGTCCCGATTTTATAAAATCTGAGCCATACTTCAGCTTATCACTGGGGGAAGGAGGAGGAGGCGGAGGCAGGAGGCATTTACCTGTAACCTGATACTTTCACCTTTATTTTCCACATGCAACTATTTGGACAACGAAAGCAGAGTATTTTGCTTCTGGAAGCACCTCCCGCGACTAGCTGGCAGGAAGTTTTGCAGCATAGAACTTTGGGGTGTCTATCAGTGTGACTGCAGTTATAACACAGTGTTTTAGTCTTCCTGTTCATTCTATTTTAATAGCACTATAAACAATGTTTTCCTATGACATTACCCCCAACAACTGTACTTATTTTTACTGATAATATATAATACAACTAGATTTTTTTTACTACTTGCAATAAATAAACAAATAAAATACTATTTGTTAGGTATAAGAATCAAGAACATCTGTGTCTATTTATCTTTCATCTTGATGTGCCACCTTTATTGCATTTCTAGGTCTGCTCTTCTTAGAACTATATATGATAAACTTGTTTTTTCAATTTAAAAGGCTGATACCTAGAAACATATCTTTTTTTGTGACTACGTAATGTATAAACTGAACATGAAAGATATTGCATTTATCCAACAGGAGTGTTCCTTTTAAGACTGCTATTGTTGCAGCAAAAGCTAAATGATGAAACTGAGTAATATATATAATCCTTAAAGACATAAGGGAATTCTGCAAGTTTATGCAACATGTTATGTAACTTAAGTAAGCAACAGCAGAACTCCAGAAATAATTCAGATTATGAGCGAGAATATATATCAGTATCTTAATGAAGAAAAAAATGCTCCACTTCAAATACAATCGAACTTTCAAAGTGAAAAATATATTTTAAAGCCATTACCTCTTTGGCTCTCTGTACAGCATCACTTGGAGGATTCCTGATTTGTGGTGAAGATTTTGTGTTTATTTTGTCATAAAGCTGAAATAACAAGAAAACAAACTACTGAAATCATATGCTACTTTATATAAAGTAATGATGTGCGCTAACAATAGCCTGCTTATGTTACCATGATTAAGACGATTGTTAAACTGCAAGTCCCACAGATGTTTCGTATACAAAATCTAGCAGCTTAGGGTTTTGGCTTTTCATTTTTAAACATTTCCTGATTTGAACAGTGCCATAGATTCAGAGTTCATAGGATGACATGGGAAAGTTCAAGAGGTTAAGACATTCTGCAAACCTCCCATGCTTTTTCCACAGATTTACAGAAACTATATTCTTCTACTAGAAGTGATCCTATGAATCTTGAATAAATGCTGTAAATGATACATTCTGCTATAAAATCAAATTGATCTGCATATCCCACTTTTCTTAATAAATCAATCATCAAACATTCCAAACAGTAATTTAAATAAACCTCAGAATATGGGATAATGCTCTTGAAGATAGAAAGCTACAAAAGCCTAAGTCTTTGGAGAAGAGAAAAACAAATCTTTCCACGAAAGGGGGCTCACAAAAAAAGAGTACCTTTATTTTACTAGGATTTTCTATTGGACAGAAGAATGCCAATGTATTTAAATAGGAAATCGTAAACCTTCCAGTTAATTATTTTTTTTCAAAAATCTTTTAAAACCCCCTCAACTATGCAAAACACAACAGGAGAGAGATCTATCTTCAATTTCAAATTAGAGATAGATATTACAGGCTCCTTCACACAAACCTAAAAGATTGTGCACGTTTTAATGAAATAAATGTATACTTAAGAATGAAAAGGCACTGTAATAAGTACTATTTTCAAATAAAAAACTTTTGGCTTACATTTCAAACAATATAAAGATGGTAATGCCTGTAATTAATTCCTATTTATGTTAGACTACTACTTTGAAATATAAGACAGAAAAAAGATACAAATAGCTACTTTTAGGATATTAGAGAAATTTTTATCACAGTGGGAGCGGTGAAACACTGCAACAAGTTGCCCAGGGAAATTGTGGAATCTCTCAACTTTGGAAATACTCAAAATTCAACTGCAATTTAAAACAGTGTGTGTAAACAAACATTCAAAATACGCAAGGGACTCTAACACCTTCAGCAAATCCTAACACTGTAAAGGATGAGTTGATAAGAACCCCCCATTTAGGCTGCTCAGCAAGGTGTTCTCAGGAGCTTCCTCTGAGAAGCTTACAGCTCCATCGTTTGACTGAGGACAGCCTTGGATGTCTGAAGAAGGAAATCTTGTCAAGCTACAGATGTGCCCTATTCTCTCTTTCTCACATGAAATACCATTCAGTTTTAGAAGAGGTGTAAACTGCAATAAATGCAATCCAATATCATCATCATTTTCCTTGTGTTCCTTAACAATCTAATGCACATGTTGAACATTTCAAGTCCATACACAAATAAATACAAAAAGAGGAAACAATGTCACTTCCAAAAAACATTGCCTGCAGGACAGTTTTACCACTGCCTTGGGGAAAGAAAAATAGAAAAGTCAAGCTAAATCAGTTTCTTCCACATCCAACAACCTCACCTTGTGCTGCCAAAACACTGCTTTACTCAACCGTTTCAGCAGCCTTGACCACTGTTGAAGTTTTTAAAATAAAAGCTTTCTGCTAGCTTATAGTTCAGGAGATACTTCGGTTGCATCCACAATTATTTGGTTTTACCTTTTCCTAAATAAGTAAACAAAACCTACCCAAACTCCAATAACCCCAAATTATTAAGTATCACATTTATACACCTGTTAAGAAACTGCATCAAGCACTGTGTACTGAGTAAAGTGCAGTAGGAGCTGCTGAAAATCCATGACACCCAACACATTGAACGTATTTTTCCAAGAGTCACACACACATCCTGTTTAAGATTAATGAAATTACAGAAAAGTTAGCATGAAAATATTTTTATTAGTTATTTCTAGCAATTGCTTAAAAGCTAAGTCACTGAAGTTGCTGATTTCACTCAAGTTGCTATGTTATTGCGATCCAAAACAACCGGCAGTTTACAGAAACAATTTTTTCTCACTATCATGGGAAAGGATAAGTTATCTTCTGAGACTAGGAAGGAGGCAAAAAGGAAAGTAGGAAGCAAAGTGCCTCTAAGATTGTTTGGAAAAAAATCAAGGCAAAGTTCAGACTAAACAAGGGTGCATTTATTTTTCCATAGCGCCTCCATGCTGAGGCGTGGCACTTAAATTTCATCTTCCAGGAGTGCTACTTACTGAGATCTGCTTCCAAGGCACCAAACCATCAGGAGGGACTCTGAGAGTACTTAAAAGAAACACCTTCATATTCGCAGTAAGGCTTAAAGCCTATGTATTACCCAAGCCACAGGATCCATTCATTGTTTCTGGGAGTAGAAGACAGCCTCAACTAGAGAAAGGATGTATTTTTGGTAGCTTCAATAGCACGAGCAGATCTCTTCTAGAGAATCTTTTTGGGTACTCTACCTCCAAAGCTCATTACAGTGGAAGGCACTGAATTCCAGTGTCTAATGGAAACACTATGCAAACAGCCTACGCCATGTTACATTTTTACCATGAGTAGAATGTGTTTTTCTCTAAAATTCTGTTCAACCTTAACTCTAAAAAGCAAGAGGCAAACAAAACCCACAATAAATCTGAAAAGAAACTTGAACCTCTCCAACTTGAAATGCATTTTTAAATTCCTAATTAAAACCAGGGACATTTTATGAAGGTATACTGATTTAAGAAAAAAAGAAATACACTTCTTCATTTGTTTAACTGGGTTACCATCACTTTAACCTCTGCATGCAAGGAAAAAGAAAAGCGTATTTTCCACCCAAATAAAAGATCATATATCTAAGAACAAAGAATACAAGTAATACTTAAAAGAGAAGGAACTATCTTGGCAGGGGGAAGGGGGAATCTCAGGCAGTCAGAAAGCATAAAGTCAGCTACGTATGAGTTTCTCCCAGGGAAGACTACAGTCAAATGCCATACCATAAGGAGAATATCAATTAAGAAATAAGATTGTTACATGTGTTTGTGGCATGCCCACAACAGATCACTGTTCAGTTCTACATTCAAAATACAGGAAGGATGTCAAAAGGCAGAGAGGGCTCAGAAAAAGCTTTCCAAAAAGATCAATCATCTCTCCCACTAGGATATTATAAAATGCTTAAAGACCGAAGTTTGATAATATAAGGGAATTCAATTTAAATGACAAAACTATCACATGAACCAAGTAAAAGGAAGTAGTCATGACAAATTCAGAGTAGAATTAAAGCACAAATATCAACATTGCAGGTAATTAAGGGTGTAATTGATTTACTCTCTTGGGAATTTTTAAAAATCAGAAACAGACATTTTTGAAATGGTATACTGTAATTCAAGTTAGTTCATGGACATTTTAGCTTACAAGGGAACCAAGCTACATAATTAAAATTGCTTCTTCTAGCCACATATTCCATAAACAACAGATTACGCTTTAAAATTTCAGTGTAAAATTTCATAATTTATTTTGTAATTTGTTGGAAAATGATATCTATATCAATAAAACTGGTGTTTTATGAATTATCCTAAAGGGAGCCAATAGCAGTAGTGAAAGATTTATTTTGTGAAGTATGTGAAGTCAAAGAAGATTTCCACATGAGAAAATCCAAATGACATAAAGAAAAATGTAGTTTGTCAATTTCTGTACAATATTTTTTTAAACACGCTGTAGATGTTCAGCTAGTTGTTACTATCTCTGTGCTCTGAATTACTTTTAAAACAGGAGCTGACCATGGCTTTCATCATGTCAAGGTTTCTTTGTCTTTTTATAGATGGGCCACAAATTCTAGGTTTTAATTGTGGTTCTTGAAATGATGGTGAACACTGTCTTGACCTAAAACTGTTTTTAATGTCTTTTTAACAACAAAACAGCTGTACTTATTACTGACATTTCATGTTAGCAACAGCAAAATTTCCTAGTGGAGACAATCAGTATCGTTACCAAACTGTCTCAGTGTCTATTTTCACATCTCATTTGGAAACAACCTTTTGTTCAGGCCACTCAATTTCTCTCTGTTATAATGCATTATAATACTAAATTATTTTGGAAAGTAGTGGCACAAATTACAATACACAAGACAAATGCAATTATTACACACTGAAGACAGTAAAAGGACAAGACTGTTTTCAAATCTATAAGTACGTACACAGCAACACCCCATGAACCATTTAACTCGTTCAGGTCCACATGTCATGATGCATTTCTAATGCATCCTTAGGAGAAATTAAAATAATATGTACAAGATTGTATCAGAAGTACTATTTCTATATTAACTGTTTATGTAGGCAAAGTAAAAATAAGAACATACAACCAAGATACGTATCTTTAAAAACATGTCAAGTAATAATAACCCCAGATAAGCCAGAAACAAAGGAAGTATTGGTACCATTTAGTACTTGCTTTATATTTTTATTTTTTCAACATACCATTTCAACAATGCCTTCACAGAATTTTTTTGGACATAAAAAAAAAAAGAAAGTCTGGTTCTGAAGTGTCTCTTGTTTGGTATGTACTCATATAAACAAAATGATGAATCCAGGATATTATTTTGTCTCTCTCATTTCCAATTTTAGTAACTGTGTGTTCAGTCTGGACAGAATTTTTTAGCATTATGTTATTAAGCCTGTTTCAAAAAACACATTAGCCCTAACAATAACTAGTCTTTACTGGTTACAGAAGATGATTAGAAAGCAGCTTTCCACCAGAACACAGCAGAAGCTGGTAGGAGGAGCAAAGCTTATACTATGCATGAATGCACCAGAACTGGTGAAGCAGTCCTACCTTCTTTTCAATCTTTGAAAAAAGACTGTTTTGCAATACTTTTCAAATATTTTTGCACTTAAAAAATATCTATAGCAGAAGCAACTTAGAAGAACGAATTTACAGCTCCATAATTTGTCTCTGAAAGCATGTGAATTTAGAGTTTTCATTTATACACATTAACAAGCACATTTGTTCCCTTGGACA